AAAATCAACAGGTGTAATATTCACACACCCTTTTTTACTTCTCACACTCTTTGTTGATTTTTGTCATTTAATTTTTTTCAATTCATTCGATCCGACGGCCGAAAATTAAAAAAGTGTATGAGAAGTAAAAATTGATGTATAGATGGTACACCCCAAAATCAAAGATGAAGCTCGTGAAATGGTGATTTTTTTTATTTAAAGTTTTTGTTTTTGTTGAAAGTAAATAAAAATAACATGTTCTTATGCGACACGAACACACATGAAATTGGATACGTTTTGAAATTCTACTAACCTTTGCAGTGATGCTTCAATCCTCTTTTTCTGAGCTTGTTGTATCTAGGTTTGATGTGTCCCAAGGTTCTACAATCTAAATGTTTTTTAGTTACTGTGTTTATACTTAAAATCTATTTAGATTACTATGTTTTTAATTTAGTTGATTTGGTCATTGTGTTTATAAACTCGGCAATGTCAATCATTTCTGTTAAGTTTCTCTTGATAAGTAAGTAAATTATTCATTTACTGTTTTTTTTTAAATTAGCCAATAAGTAAATTGTTCATTTACTAATTAAAAATTAAAAGAATTAAAGATACTTAAAAAATTCATTAAAAAGAAACAAAAGTGAAACCCCAAGAAAGAGACAATCTCAAATTTTCACCCGTCTCCAGCTGAGATTGAAATTGAGGTTCAATCCTGGATATTTCACCATGCGAAAAAGTTACCTTGATTAAAAATTTCCTTCTTATTCTTCAAAGTTATAAAAAAATCATTGAAATGCTTCATGACCAATTTCATGTATGGTTCTTCACAATCTGAAGTCTTATAATTTGGCTCATCAACTCTTTCTTGAATAAGCAATAAATTATCTCCACTTTCAGTTGTCTATTCAATATCTATATCGCTCCATGTATCTTGTAAGACCTTATATTTTCTAGGGTTTTTTAACTTTAATCCTTCAAAAAGATTAAAATTTAAAATAAATCTGGTGTTAGATTACACATTGATTATAATCCCTTGATGTGTCCCTAATTCAAAATAATTAATGTGCATTTTATTTAATGTCTCCCATTAAATATTTAAATTTATTAATATATATACAAATTTTAATTTATTTTTTGACCAAAAAAGAGTTTTTTAATTTATTAATTTTATTTAACATTCTTTAAACTTGAAAGACTCAATTAATGTATCTAAATGTTAGTACCAAGATGTATTATATTGAACTAATGTATTTAAATGTTAGTACCGAAATATATGTACCGAATATACGCATCAAAATATATTATATTAAATTAATGTACCTAAATATGTGTACCGAAATGTATGCATTGAAATCTTAGTACCAAAATCCATGCATCGAAATCTTAGTACCAAAATGTATTATATTGATTAATATACCTAAATGTTTGTATCGAAATATATGTACCGAAATATGTATACCTAAATGTATGCATTGAAATCTATTATAATAAATTTACCGTACCTAAATGAAGAAGATAAAGTACATTGAAATATGTTGTATAACAAAAATTAGTTTATCTAAATGTTTACAACAAAATATATTACGATAAATGAAATGCAAATTATAATTATAATGAAATAAAATTAATACATTAAAAATTAGGAAGAAAAAAAGAAATAATTAAAAAAATCAAAATATAATTAATAAATGAGGTTATTAATGTATCAAGAAATTAAAATTAAATTTTGATCTTACTCATAGTTTTAATCTAAAAATCATCTTTGTTAAAAGATTAAAATGAAGTTTTGTATATTTTCTATCCCTTTGCTTGATCTAGACGACTTAACCAACGTAACATTAGCACGACCAAACACATACTTTAAAGAAGTTCTCTTTTTGCGTACCAACTACATTTTTTCATCACTTGGTGTAACTCGAAGTTGAAATCTTGAATACCAAGCTGATCAAGTACAACTCGTTCAGTCGGCAGACCTACTCGTTCAGTCGGCAGACCTACTTTAGTACAATAGAACGCAAAGAATTCATCTTCGGATTCTTTCTTTCTGATTCTTCAAATTAAGGAATTTGTGTTGAAATTTAATCGAACGAATACAAATAGGAATTCATTTTAAAAGTTATAATAACTTCAGCATTGAATTAATTTTTAATAGTATGAATCTCTTAATTTGATGGGAATGAAGGAATCTAGAGATGATCTATTTCCCAATAGAACAATAAAAGAGGAAAAATAAGTAGAATTCGACAACTTTCATCGGTACATGCATAAAGTCAAAATTAAGGTACTAAAGAAGGTGAGGGTGGTGGAGTTGGTCCACCATCCATGACTAGCTATTGCCTACACAGTACACATTACAATAATCACACCCGCACACTAACCATCACACCCGCCGATTTCAGACGGTATGTATATGCAACCCTCTTGGAGGCAATTTCCTCAATCTTAAACTTTTGTTTGGTGGGTGGATGAAATTGGGTCTTAGGAATGAGATTGAATTAACAAGAACTTGTAAAACAGACTTGTAACCTACGTATAAAGATAGATTAGATAATTCACTTTATTGTGAATTTATAACTTATCATGTCCAGTCATGTTCATATCACATTTTGACACAACAAACAACGAACTGAACTAGACTCAAGTTCATTTTAGTTTATCACAAGTTATCTCATCCAGCTCACCAAACGGGACTTAGAAGTATTGTTTTTGGCTATAGATTGTATAATTAGCTAGGTCAAGTAATTGTACAAATTAAAAAAAAATAACTAAGGGCATCATAACTCAACTTAATTGATGGTTTATGAAAATATTTTTTTCTTCTTCTTTTATCTACCTCTTTTTATGGTTACTATGGTGTATATATACGATATTCTACATTGAATTCATAAATTATCGAGATGAAGATTTGAACTTATGCATAAAAAGAGAAACACACTCCTCAAGTTAGATTAGCTAAACTCAAATTTGTTTGTTTTGATATTATCCAGTAATCTTTTACATAGGTAAAGCGGTAAAGGTGATGTGGTAGTGTTTTGGGTTTAACAGTAAAAGTCACATTGCCACAAATATATTGTGAGTGTGTGAATTCAAACTTAATCAAAAGTCAACCAAATGCTAAGTCAAACAAAAGCACACGATCCTTGGACTTGGACCTTGAGATCACTTCACAACCATATGCATCCAACTGCAAATTAAATTATTAATTGGGCATTTGTCAAAAGAAAAATCATTAATTGGGTCAAATTAGAATCTGCTCAACTATATTACCCAACTATAAACCGACTGGCATTAATATGGGATTCTGCTCAACCATACACCCAGCTGTAAACTGACTACCACTAATCTTGCTAGTTGATCTGAATTATCTTCATACGCAAGGAAATATGAATTCGGTGCCTACCCCCTATTACTTCTACATTATTTAAATTAATCATAGAAATTGTGTACGGTCTATCTTCAACCAAGGTCTACATTGTTGATCAGATACGGTTAGATTTGATGTTTTCTCTTTCTAATACCGTTAAGAATGTATAAAAAGTCAATGTATTAAATATAGCCAAGTTCAATATACATATACTCTAGACTTTCAAAAAATGAGACATTCTCTAAACTTTTTGTTACCTTATGTGTATTTGGCACAATGTTTGATGTTGGCATGGAAAAATATGAGATGACAGAGAGTTCATAGAAAGTTCTACTTTTAAGATGGGTATGCTAGGGAGATTAAATTTGTAGACAAAACTTGCAAACTAAATAATGTGTCACTAATAGGAATAAACATGTTTATCATAAGTAATAATCCAATCATCCACTTTCATGTCATTTAGTTTACAAAATTTTGCATACAAATTTAATTTCCTTAGCATTACCTTTTTAAAAGTCTTTTTAGTATTTCTCATTCTCTGTATGTGACATAAAAGTCAAACCTCGTTAATTTTCATGACACATACTAAATATTATGTAAAAAATATGAGGTGAAAAAGAATCTTCATTTGAGAGAGTTTGCCATTAAATTATGGGTTCGCCATCACCTTTTTTTGTGTCAAGGGTTTGCCATCAACTTCAACTTTTTAAGAAAAATTAGAAATTTCACTGGCAGCTGCCAACCACTAACGACCTGAAATACCCCCCCGTCCTATTCTGCCCTACATTGGGCCCAATTGAGAGACAATATACAGAGCATTTGCTTCGATCGTTGTCTAAGGGTACGAGGTATATGTTGCAAGCTAAGCTATTTCATTTGTTAGGGTTGCTCTTTAATACCAAAACTATTGTATAACAAAACCTCCAACTTGTGCGCTTGCTTGTTAAACAGGTTGGAAGTTTAAAGAGTAAGACTAACCTCATTGAGAAGGCAGTGACCTATTCTGCCATTCAACAAACCCTATGTTAAGAATTCATTAGTCTTGTACTATGCACAAGCATAATCTATACGCCAACATAAATAACCTATTCGACTGCACATTTAATATTTTAGTTATCTAGTGCATGTCAAACACCGAAAACAATAAATTCCATAAACAAAAGTTCAGCTCATTAATGTACCAAATAGGATGTAAGTGCAACCACTACTATCAAGCTTAATCTATACGCCAGCATCAATAACCTATTGTCCGCACACCAAATGTTTTATTATTCGGTGCATGTCAAACACAAAGACAGTAAATTCAAAAGACAAAAGTTCAACTTGTTAATGTAACAAATAGGACGTAAGTGCAACCACTACAATCAGGATAGGAAAACTAATGAAAATGGCTTGAAAACTTTGAGTTTTAACAATAAGGACAAAATAAAAGGTAAAGTGAATACTACCATGATTGACTTTTTAGTATAAAAATATGGTTTTTTGTTAAAATTCCCTAATTTATTTGCCGACATCCATAACCTATTCAAATGCATGAGTAGTGTTTTAGTTATCTGGTACATGTCAAACACCGAAAACAGTAAATAAAAAAACAAAAATTTTCCTCAATTATGTACCAAAAATAGGACGTAAGCGCAACCACTACATATATATGAAATGAAGTAAATAGGTGTGGCCCTTAAATGCCAACTTTTGAACTTATCTTCTTATGAAAATATTGGATAAATGAACGTATATTCCCATCTATATGAAAATCAACCAATAAACAAGAATTAGCATACTTTCGTCTTTACCATCTCCTTCTTTGTCAATGATCACGATGTCCTTTTACCTCCATATTCACAAGAACATCGAAATAAAACTGGTCTCATTCTATACCAGTATACGTCTTCAACTTCCTTTGCGGATCATCTTCATGCATCAAGTTCACAGTGAAAAACAGGCGAAGCAAACGGCTGTAACTCACCAAAAATAATGTCATCTCCTTCCGCAATGCTGTTCAAGTCTTGGCAATCAAAATACGTTTGAATGTCATCAGGAAAAATGCGTCGACGTATCTCTGGCTCTGAAAGTGTTGGTGAGCACTCCTTAACAGAGGATCTCTCAAGCATTTCTTTAAACTTGGGAGATTGTAGCAAGAGCCCTAGTGCAGATGACGCTGAAGAACCATTTCCTGTCCGCGGCAAGACAACCGAAGAATCGCTAGCGCTACTCGAACTAGTGTGGTCAGGCATGATCTCCAGTTCTGGTTTACCATTAGGGTTGTGCATTTGGTTGAGGACGCCATCAGGGTTTTGCATTTCATAGAGGTCACCGTTGGGGTTTTGTTGATCGTCGTTAGGCCCGTTTGTAGTATTTGGGCACAGAGACTTGATGTAACGGCTAAGATCAAAGTTTGTAACGGCATTAAGTCCACGGTACTCTATTGCTGCCATGTCATATGCTGTGGCTGCTTCTTCTTGTGTAGCTGCCAAGAAAGAAAGTAAAATAATAAAATTCAAAGGTTGTACAAACGTAATTGTTTGTGTGGGATCCAAACAAAGAAACAATAAATACTAGAATTTAATTTGCTAGCAAATTTTGGTGGAAAGATCTGGAAATTTTAGTTCGCAAGAAGAGAAATGTTAAAGAGTTTCTCTAAAAAATATGACTTTTCATGGACTCGTCACTTCACAATTTAACAGTCAATTTTCGTGTTAACTTTATAGAACATTTGCCAAAAACATAAAGTGAGAGTCTCACTTTTGAGAGAATCATCTATGCATTTCTTGGCAAAAAATAAGAATAAAAAACTGTAAATAGCTGCATTAGGCAGTTGAGGTTAGGTGATCTACATCCCAACTAAGTTGATTTGATTGCGTAATTTTCATTGTTTTCTTTATCCTATTATCTTGGACCATATGCCTTGTTTTTTTATTATGTATTGCAAAACTTTTTTTTTTTTGTGTTAGTAGTTGAGGTACACCAATGACGTATGACAAGTCACATCTTTCCACGTGGCATTTTAAACTTGTAACCGGGTTTAGGTAAAGGACATGCACCAAAGTTAACCCACAAGTGAAAGAAAAAGATTCTTTGTCAAGTTCTTTTGGCAAACCAAATTTCTTGTTTTTCTTGGTCTTTTCATTACCAAAAATCCTCTACATTTCTAATTGAACATTCAAAAAACCATTGATTTGAAACTCCACCTAATTTTCTTTCCGTTTAATACAACTTAAAGTAGTAATATTGCTTATAATAAAAGAAATACTAAATAGTAAAAAGTGGGAATTACCGAAGGTTCCAAGGTAAAGGTATTTGTTTCCAAATACTCTGCCTATTCGAGCTTCCCATCTTCCATTATGATGGTGTCTGCACAGAAGAATTAAATCAAAGAAAGTAAAAACCAAACTTACCTATATATGCATAGATTGTGACAGCCATCTCTCAACTTTTTGGCAACTTAGCAACCTTGAATTATATGCACATGTCCCTTCTAACCAAATATGAGTATATGGATGAGAATAGCAACTTGTCAAAACAATCAAAATTTTGTGAAAATGTATTAAAAAAAAAATTAACTATATTGTTTTAGTATAAAAATTAATTTGGAATGAAGAGATATAGGTTTACCCAAGTTAGCAAGAACAGTTTGTTCTACTCTTGCACCTAAGTTTAAATATTACACCCAATAGTTTAGATAAATTTAATGTGCAATTATCTTGTCGCTTGTTAAAGGGAAAAAAATAATATTGAAAATAAAAAAAATAAAGTACCTTGCGACGCCTCTATACTTTGAAACCCCGCGAGAAAATCCACTACTTTTCCTGTTAATTAATAAAAATTTAGTAAAATTAAAATTTAAAAACTCCTAGTATATAATATATCATCAAAGTAAATGCTAGATACAAGTTTAAAATTATCACCTTCTCAATGATCCAATGTATTCTTCTTTCGACTGGCTCTCCATTTCTTTGAGCTCTTCTTCATATGTGGATACCTACAATTAAACAAACAAATAAAAATTAAGGTAGATTCATGCCATTTCATATGCAAATAACATCACATAATCAATTAAAAAAAATGTTTTCGATCAGAGATGGATCCACCAACTCCAATTTCAGTAGGGTAGGGTTAGAAAATATACTGGGAAATTGAGGATTGTATCTCGTCCCCAGTACTTTAATGCCGCCAAGTCATAAGCACGTGCAGCAGCTTCTTCATCATCATATGCCCCTAAAAATATTGAAATATTACCTCATATAGTTAAATGATGATCCATTTTCTTGCTCAACAAAGAAAACAAATTGTGAATTAAAAGGTAGTAAAAAATGAAAATTAAGCTGTTTTCAAATGGGGACATACCTAGATAAACTGCATTTGAGTTGGGATTAATTCCATCAATATCATCATCACCACCAGGAAACCAAAAACACAAGAAAATGAAAATTGTTAACCGCAAAACAAAAAAGAATTAAGGAAAACGAACAACCAAATTAATTACCTTGTCTTCCTTTCTTGTTCTGCGACTCATTCCAGCAATTCTTGTCCCACAGATGAGCTTCGTATCGACCCGTCCATCGATGCCTAAATTCAACAACATTAATCAATAATATTGAACAGTGATATATCGCCCTAAGTTAAAAGCAGAAATGAAGCAAGAACCGGCCAACTCCCAACGAGAAAAGGCTAAAGAAAATGATGGAAACTATAAAATTTAACTATAATGTGCATCCAGGAATATGAAAGAACCTCGTGACGCCACGGTATATGGAGCTCCGCTGGGGCGGAGAGTCACGGCGGACGCTTTTCCGCGTTCGCTTGACTTTTGTTGTTGTAACAGTGCTAGTGGTGCTGCTGCTCCTGTTTGTGCTTCCAGCAGTATTCTTCTGGTTTTGCTGTGAGGTTTTCGCCATTAAACTGGCTCTCTCTCTCTCTCTCTTACCCAAAGAGAGCAAATGAGGAAATAAAGTAAGAGAGAAAAATAGACAAAGAGCGAGAGAAGAGAAGGAGGGAGATGATGGATGTGACTAGATCATCGTAATATAAATATGAGAGAGAAGGAAGGTGCTAATATATTGGAGGGAGAGAGCACAAAATTAATTAAAGGGTTTGATTTTTTTTGCACAAAAATGCATAAATGAAAAGGAAAAGAGTAATGTTATTCTTAACATAATTTTATACCATATTTTTTTATCATCTTAGGTGGACAGATGAGTTAGACAGGTTACATCATTTAATTTCAATCTTTTATTAATTAAAACACTTAAATAATCTTAGGTGGAAGAAGGAGATTCCTTATATACCACAATTATCATTTAATTAACAATCTTTTTATTAATTATTGATTAACATTTTGATTAAATGCTAATTAATTTAGATGATGTGGTTGTTCAACTCATCTGCCATCTAAGATGGTAAAAAAATATGGTATAAAATTATAGTAAGAATAGTATTATGGAAAGGAAAATAAAAAACATTAATGGATATTTGTTTTTATTGGAAATTGGATTGGAAGAGGGGAGAATAGAAGTGTTGAGCCGGCTGAATCACAAGAGTCTTTTTGTGACCGTCTCCAAGCGCTTATCTAGTCTCCTACTTCTTGTCCTCACTTCGTCCTTTCTGGGGCTATTTGTCAAAACTGAATTGATAGCACTTATTTTTTTTTTTTTTCAATTTTATGGCTCATTTGTATATACTTTTAAAATAATGAAAACATTTTTTGTGAAAATAATTTTAAAATCAATTTTGGTAAAAATTTAAGTAGATCATAAACAAACACTTAAACACTTCAAATGTTTTTGAAACCCAGAATCAATTTCACCATAAACACTTTCAATTAACGAGCCCATATTATGCTAGTTACCGATTCATTTACTTATTCAATTGTATCATGCATGCAACTACATATATAAAATATATACTTGAAAGCTCATGAGCTTATTCACCCTTAATTAACTTATAAACTTGAAAGCTCATGAGCTTATTCACCCTTAATTAACTTATAAACTAACTCCCTTTTTAGCCTCTCTTCTTGTTTGTGTGATTATTTTGTTTCTTCCTCCATCATTCTATATCGTCATCACATTTTTATTTATTTTCACTATCGTTCATTCATTCTACTAATAATTATTACCATTTTTTTAATTATTATCCTAAAATGCATTCTCCGTGCGAAAATTTTCTTCAAATGCCAAACAAGTTAGTCGGTACTTATCGTCTATAAGATTATCTCGCAAGGGCAGAAAAATAAAAAATAAAAGTATGTTTAATTTTAACGGGTTGAGTACAAAAAACTACCAAACCTTTTAGGATGATTTCAAATTAGTCTCAACATATTAAAACATTCTATGTGACATCTCACATCGCTAGGGGAGTGATCCTTAAATGTATATTCCCATCCTTACCTAGCACGAGGCTTTTTGGGAGCTCACTGACTTCGGGTTCCGTAGGAACTCCGAAGTTAAGCGAAAAGGGGGCTAGAGCAATCCCATGATGGGTGACCTACTAGGAAGTTGCTCGTGAGTTTCCAAAAACAAAACCGTGAGGGAATGGTAAGCCCAAAGCGGACAATATCGTACTATAGTGGTGGAGCGGGCTCAGGGAGTGATCCGCCCCGGGCCGGGATGTAACAATTTGGTATCAGAGCCTAACCCTAGCCGTGTGTGTGCCGACGAAGACGTCGGGGCCCTAAGGGGGGTGGATTGTGTCATCCCACATCGCCCAAGAGAGTGATCCTTATATGTATATTTCCATCCTTACCTAGCACGAGGCCTTTTGGGAGCTCACCGGCGTCGGGTTTCGTAGGAACTCCGAAGTTAAACGAGTAGCACGTGAGAGCATTCTTATGATGGATGACCCATCGGGAAGTTCTCGTGTGAGTTCCCAAAAACAAAACCGTGAGAGCGTGATCAGGGCTCAAAGCGGACAATATTGTGCTATGGTGGTGGAACGGGCCCGAGAAGTGGTTCCTCCCAGGCTGGGATGTGACATTCTAAATAACTACCTAACGTTTTGAAAATTAACATATGGTCGATCCTTTACCAACATTAGGTGATGATGTTACTAGCGTTTAATGACGAGTTGGACAAATACTAAAGTTGGTTTTCACTATTCGACGTCTTTAGAGTTCTAACCCCCAAATTGACTCATTTGCTAAGTTAAACCATAAATTTGCTCTACATGACGTCAATGTGGAAGTCAAATCTCCACAATGGACTTGAGAGTTAAAACATGCTTAATATTTGTCTATGTCAACACTTAATCCTAGTGAACCTAATAGATGTTCATTTTTCAAAACTTTAACTAGTTATTTGAAATGTTTTAAGAGGTTAGGGCCAATTCACCCCTAAAAATTGGATAGTTATCCGGACTTAACAACTTAATTGTCTCGACTCTCACCAACATGGAAAAATTAAATTTGACGCGGTTTCTCTCTATAATGGGCTAACAAGTTAAAAATTATATTTGACTTTGTATGCATAGACATGATATAATTTGTACCACCGCATTTAGAGTCAAGTATAAGCTTTGAACATTTGAAGATAGGCTAACGTAACGATTTTCATGTTTTTTTTTTCCTAATCTTCTTGATAATTTAGGCTCTTCTAACTACCTAAGATGATCAGTTTAGTGAATGTTTGTTTATGAGATGCAAATCAGTAGTCAAATTTGGAATACAAGTCATTAATGTGACATTAATTAGCAAGCTTACATTAACTTTTCAGTTTATAGCAAAACCTTAATATTAGCAGCTAGCTCGTTGTTCGGAGACCTATTCAGTATTCACAATGTTAATTGAGAAATGTTGCCACTTAGTACTATAGTCTAATGGTATTCTTCTTCACTTGTAAGTGAGATGTCTTATGTTCGATTCTCGCTAAAGGCGAATTTGAAACACATTATTGTTAGCCCATTGTAAGGCTTAGCCCACTATCCCACCTCTTAGTGTAGATAATATCGTTTGGTAAAAAAAAAATTGAGAATGTTAAGAGACTATCTCAAAAGTGGAACTTTTCATGGACTTTGCCATCTTATTTTTTTTTACACAATATTTTATAATATTGACATACAAATTGATGTTAAACTATGAGGTGGCAGACAGTCCATGGAGAGTCTAACCTTGAAAGAGTCCCCTTAGCATTTCTCATATTAGTTATCAAACTTTCTTGATCTCTCAACCCTTTCACATGTATTTTGTACTTATCACAATGAGAGACTCTTCTTCGTTTCCGACTCTCAACTGTCATATTATTCAACCACAAACTTGACATTTAAATTTCTTGATTCTAAACATAGGATTTGTTGTTCTCTAGTATTCGGTCGCGTGTGTGCGCGAGAGTAGGGGTTGAAACTTAATTCCTCTTTAATGTACCAAAAAAGTCGGCATACATGACTTTAGAGTTATATGACATGTCTTATTTGACTTTGGGTTTAACCTTAGAGTTAAAAGTGTGACCCCCGCACTAATTAGAAGATACAACGACTGTATCTATATCTCTAAGTTTTGGCTTAATCCATCTCTAATGCACATGAATTGAAATGAAATGTCAAATTGGACTCTATGTGCATTGAAGATAGTATAACTTGCACCACCACATTTAAAGTTATACAATGATTGTCAGAAAGAGGTTGAAATGCCTCTATAAGTCTTTCTGGTCTCCAAAAAAATGAAATACCGTGACGAAGCTAAAATTTTGATAGCCCTATAATTGACTACTCAAGTTTGTCTATAAGTTAACAACCACTTAAGATTGTGACCATCAATTAATACATATGCATGTTCATCAATTAATACATATGCCATTCTGTACATCTGCATGTTCATCAATTAATACATATGCAAAACGAATTAAAAAGCTTTCAATTGGTGCAAACTTCTTGGTGTGTCATGCTTCTTCACTTTGCGGTTTTCTTTTCCCAATCAAGTGTAATTGTGCCAAATGAAGTCTTCATGGTTAACCACCAAAAATCTATCTCTACAAGGAATTGGCCAAACGTTTGATGCATGGTTGTGCTAAAACCAAAGGGAGGCAGTAATCATTCCATTGTAAATTAACCAAGCACGATCGGTTCTTATACTTAATTAGAGGTACTAAAAGTTAAGGTATTAGGTAACACTGCTGGATTCAGGAATTTTGTTCCAGGATTTCAAAAGTTTCGTAAAATTTTTTTGACAATAAATCCAGCAGAGAATGATGTAGTTTTGAACCCTCTTCCTCTCTTAATAATGGTAATTTTTTTTTAAAAAAAAAAAGGAAAAAAAAAAAAACAAAGGAATGAGGGTTTGAGCCGAAAATGGAGTGATCACTTGCTAAATGAAAAGACTTGTACAAAAATGGATGGAAAATCAACTTCTTTGACGGATTTGCCTAACGTGAAACCAAAAAGAAACTACAAAGATGAAAAATGCCTCGAAATAAAATTACTGGCAGGAGAGTGAAAATCCGAGTAAACTGGTAAAATTCCTGCAAATTAAACAAATGCCTATTTACCCAGTGGGCTTTTATCAAGCTTAAAATTCGTAGGTGTTCTCACCTTGGATCAAAGCCTTTAACCAAAACATAAAAATAGAAAAAACTAAAAAGCCCAGCAATATTGTTTCCCATTTTTGCTTTGGGAAAGTCTATTGGGGTATTGCGGATCTCCGTCTCCCTGACAGAGCTGAACTGTTGCAGTTAAAGTCAAAGTCCAGCAGATGCAGCTTCTGAGAACCAATTCGACAACCCCACCTCAGAAAACCAAGACTTATCAACTGGGTGTTATTTTTCTCAAATTTTGCAGGAAAAGCAGAGTTATCAGCCATGGAAATGGAAACAGAAGAACATGATCATGAAAAAGAAAGTCTTTACCCTGAGTCTGGGAACCAAAAGCAGAAGATCCCAGTAAAGGGTGTCCAATATTTGCTATGGACACCCATAAATTGGTTCAGAATGCTGAGCAGCGAGTTGCATTGGAGCTTTGTGGTAGGTGTGGTGATCGTGTACGGAATCAGCCAGGGTCTGAGCATGGGGTTGAGTAGAATTAGCATACAGTATTAC